GGATGAAAGGTATCCAAAATAAAATAATTATATCTCAGGAGGCATTTATTATACACATTTATTGGTTACACCATTACAGAGGAATTTATCAGAGTTTTTAAGTAGCAGGGGGGTTATGATTATCCTCTTTTCAAGAAGAACACTGTTCTATAAACTTAGTTACTTTAGTTAGTATAGTTGATTTGTGAATGTTTATAGTTAACTGTAATTTTTAGCTTACTTTCCTTATTTTGAAAAAATAAATCTATGTATCCCCTTCCCCCTATCTACTTTTGAATGCCTAAACTGATCTTTATGGAACCTGGTATGTATATCATGGCACAAGCCCATCTCAGTGGCATACTTTATTAATCTGTTCCATTCATTCTGTGTTGTAAAGAAAATATTAACATGGTAACAAATACACGTGCAAGAATAGAAGAATTTTTGGACATGTCGATTTCTATGTGACCCATGTCATATCAAAAGAAAGTAGGCAGTTAGTTATTCCCAGAAATTCTTGCTTCTTATTAATTTTCAGACTCCCCTGTAACAGAATCCTTGCTAGCTATATGACTGAATTCTTTGTAGGACATGTGAATGAACTATGCTGAGTGGACAGTTCTTTTCAGATCACAGAACCTATGTATGAGAATAAAGAAGGACTTATGTGTAGCATTGTGTTTTATTAAAGAAGGTCGTTTTTCACTTGCAAGGTATTTAGTAAACTTACTGTGAGTTTGTGAAGGCAAATTCTTTGATCACCTCGATACAATCTCGGAATGATATCTTGGAAGTTAGGGTATTGATGTGGTACACAAGAGGTTCCTCTGGTCCATCTACACAGTCCACTGCAAAAACAGGGCCTTGTATTACAAACCCTTGACATTTTAAATATCCTGTGAACTTTGATACATGTTAACGTTTAACGTCTGAAGTGCCCCATTTGTGCCAGTGACGAGTATAGTTGTCGTGGCCAGAGTACCCTGTTTTGGCCAGTTGGCCATTTAAACTCCACTAGTGGAAGCACATGCACACTCCTAGATACTTATTTTTATATGTAGTAATTACTTGACAGACTTGAGTAAAACCCTAATAGAGGAATTAAAAAGATACCTAAGTGAACAACAGCAAAAAAGAATATACGTATGAGTTATGCCCAAACTCATCCACGAGCCAGTACTTTTATTGCAGATTCTGCAGATTAATGTTTTAAACATATATAGTAAAATTCGATGTACATACCTTTTTTGTTATCTGCTTGATGTATATATATAGGCTGAAATGAAACTACAGAATTCGATGTCACTATGAACGCACAGAAAACAGATCGCACTCTGTATCTAAGCCATGATACAACTGTCTGTTCATGAACATAGAAAGGGCAATAATCTCTTGTAGCTATAATGGAAGGTCTTAGCACTGAAGAAGGGACCCCTCTAGCTCTTTTTCTTGAATAGCCATTCTTTCATTCTTCTGTCCTTTAAGTCAAATGATTCGAAAATCTGAAGGGTGTAACAAGATATAAGGTTTCCCAGCAGAGAACCAAATGATTTTATTGCTTCCATCTGTTTTATGACACCAGGGTCTGCTAAAATTTGTCAAGTGTTACCAACAGAAATGAATTTATAATGCAGAACAACTCTGTGAAGAACTGGGAATATATTTTTGCAGTATGTATCAAAATTAAAAGAAAAAAATTGAAAAAAAGAATATAATTCTTTGTATAAAAATTTTCACATCTTCCGTTATAATATGCGACACTATTTTCTTTGCTGATACAAACAAAGTTAATTCCATCCATTTATCCTAAAAATTATGTTAGATACAGCATTTTTAAACACAGTGCTTAAAATTGTTTAAGCGCCCTAGCAGGAATGGACATTTAAATGCAGAGTAACAACGGGCATTTAAACATGCACCAGCAGTGGGCATTTAAATAAACTCTGGCCAGCTCAAGCTTACTACCATTTCAAAAGACTGGCGTTTGAAGGTTAATAAAATGCAGAAGTTCAATTATACAAAGGGCGTTCTGTATATAATGCCTCCTATTTTTGTGTGTTTATATATAACGTCTGAGCTGGATGTTGGTGGTGTTGTAGTAAAGGTTGAACCTTCCCACCAATGACGTATTAGTTTGGTTCTTGTACAACAAATCGCGACAGCAGAGCAGTCTACCAAAATGGCGTCTGACATAGAAGTGCGTACTAAACAGAGATGTGTTATTGAATTTCTCACTGCCGAACAAATTGCACCCATTGACATCCATCAATGCTTGCTAAAGGTGTACGGAGATGATACAGTGGATGTCAGCACAGTGAGGCGGTGGGTAGTGCTTTTCAACAGTGGCAAAAGTGAAGTGCACGACAAGCCACGCCCTGGGCGTCCCTGCTCAGCTGCCACTCCTCACAATGAACAGCACCTCAATCAGCTCATCCATACAGATCGGGGGATAATGATCAGGGAACTGTGTGCGTGGCTTTATATCAGCTGTAATGCACTGGAAACTATGTTGGGGAAGCTGGATTATCGCAAAGTTTGTTCCAGGTGGCTCCCGAAGATGCTGACACAGGACCACAAAACTCATCGGATGCAAGTCTGTCAGGACCTGTTGCACAAGTTTGAGGCTGAAGGTGACAAGTTTCTGGACAGCATCATCACTGGAGATGAAACGTGATGTCACCACTACGAGCCGGAATCCAAAAGACAGTCCATGGAGTGGCGACATCCGGATTCCCCAAGAAAAAAGAAGTTCAAGACACAGCTCTCGGTGGGGTAAGTGATGTGCATGGTCTTTTGGGATAGGTGGGTTGTGATTTTCTTGGATTTCCTGGAGCCTGGTGAGACTCAATTCTGAACGCTACAAGACGGCGCTTACTAAGCTGAAAGCCCGCATTTCCCGAGTCAGGCCAGAGAAGCAGACAACCTTTCACTTTCAACACAATAACACTAGACCCCATACTAGTTTGGCGACCACCACGCACATTGCAAAGTTTGGCTGGACTGTCCTACCACATCCAATTTATAGCCCTGATTTAGCACCTTCAGACTTCCATCTCTTTGGGCCCATGAAAGACGGACTACATGAGCAACATTTTCCAGACAGTAGTGCTGTCATTGCAGCTGTAGGAAAGTGGCTAGCCTCTGCGGGCGCGGACTTTTATGGGTGCAGCATACAGGCTCTTGTTCATCGCTTTCAAAAGTGCATAACAAATGGTGGTGATTATATGGAAAAATAACTGTAAGTGGCTGAAATCTTGCTCTATTTAACCGCGTTATTATGCTTTCTGTATCTGTTGTAGTTTTCATTAAAAAAAATAGGAGGCATTATATACGGAAACCTCCTCATATTAATTGCAAAGTAAATAGATGCAGCCAATTACTTTTACTTAATTATCTCAGAACATTTTGAGTGTTATTCATGAGTAGAAGTAATTTGAATGAAGTGTGTATTTATAGTTTATAATTAAGGATAACAGTTTTCTTTGAAATACAGATTTTTTTGACTACTGTATATTGGTATCCAGTGACAGAGTGCAAGAAATGGGAAAGAGAGAGTTACCCTTGCAACTAAGAACCATGCCATTAAGGTGTATAGGAGGTGTGGAGATAAAACTCCATACATTTCAGACCTTGGCATGAGGTGAACTTACATGATTAGCTTCACATCCTGACTGACCTTATTCCTGTGGAAAGAGTGACTGATAACCACTGGATAGGAGACTGAGTAGGCCCCAACACCAGTGTCGACATTTGTGAAGAGAAATATCTCTGCATGTGGTAGCGTAGTTGGTTGAGGCACTATGCTACAGGCCGGAAGGTTGCAGGTTTCAGTCCTGATGTGGTGGATTTTCTTTCCATTCAATTTACCTAATCCTTTCGCCACACTATGTCCCTGGGGTCGCCTCAGCCTCTAACAGAAATGAGTACCAGGAATTTTCCTGGGGCATAAGGCTGACAACCTTACTGCCATCTGTGTGCTGATTGTCTAGAAAATGTGGGAGCCTCGATGTCTAGCAACCCTGTGGGCCTTCACAGTCTGTTACAGGGATAGCTATACCTATCAATAAGCAAACCCAGGTCATCCAGCTCTTAGTCAATCAGACTGTGTTACACTGTCTCTTTTCTAAAGGCATACTGACTGAAAATGTTGTAATATTGAATAGGCTCCATAGCAAATGCAGTCATTATATATTATAAAGAATCACATCCTTATGGCTCATGAAGCTCATTTGTCCCATATTCCAGTTAATGTGTGTATGCACCCCATGTTTACTTCTTCCAACATAAGAATCTAATGGTACAGCAAAATAGAGGTAATTGAGATACTGTTAATTGTTTGAAACTGGTAGAAAGTACTTACAGTACCAAAGCCTTCAACATATGGTATGAATATTTCTCCATCCATATTATGAAGCTTATCACCAGTATTTAGAACAAAAGCTCTTTTCTTGGAACCACAGATGTGCTGCTGAGTGCTCTTACCTTTAACACAACGACATCCATTGCCAAGGGCACGAATGTAGCCCTCAACACTAGATGGGCCTTTCAACTGGTCCTCTAGTAGGTATGTGTTGTGGGAGGAAGAAATGAAGTAATGTGTGAGTGGATGCCTCATGTCCTGACACACTTTTCGATGAAGAGCATCGAAGATATCACACTCTTCTGACAGCAGGTACTTAGTGAAACCTGTTCCAAAACAAATAGACAATTTTTGTTGTAATGTACTACATTTTTGGATCACAAGACACCTTATTTTAATTCACATATATGGATAGTCTATATGAGAAAATATTATGGAGAGTTCTGTCTTTGGGATATAATGTCATGCAATCCATTGAAAGTCAGATGACATTTCAGAGGAACAAATCACCATATTCACGGTTGAAGTGTAAGGCAAGCAAGAAACTAGCATAAAGTGGGCAGCAAGCACTGAAATATAAGTTGACTTTTAACAGGATGTACAGTCTTATGTCCCAAAAGATAGAGCTCTTCATAACCACCGCTGTGAGAACTTCAAGCCATATAAGTTTTTTTAATCCTTTGTGTTTAGGACGTTTGATTAGACAAAATGTTATTTGGGTCCATTGCCTGTGTAGATGACCAAGATATAATTAAAATCAGTCAAGCCAGTTTTGAGAAAACTGACATTTCCCTTTTGTGCTGCTGTTCCCTTAAAGAGACCACCCACCAACACAGTTTTATGTATAGAGATGGTCTCCACAAATTATTGAAATATAATAAAAAAGTTACCATTTTGCTTTGAGGGTCTATTTGAAGGGCACCTATTTTTTGAGCTAGAACATTCATAAACACTGAGAACTGAACTGTGATGGGTAAACTCTAAAATACCAAATAAAATAAAATCTGTCTGTTTGTTCAGATGCTAACAAGGGCCACATCCACACATAGCATTTCAGTAACCACACTTTCATATTCAGTGAGACTGAAAATGTATAAACCTGTCAAGGTCTCGAGACTGTTTGTTCTACAGTCACAGTACTGGCAAAATTCACAGGGTTTCAAGGACTATACTATAAGAAGGTTATATTTCCTTTTTGTACATGGTCTACATATTTATATTTTAAACTAATATGTTATTATTATGGACAAAACTAAACAAAACTGGTGTTCATTTATAATCTCCAAGTAGGTTTTTGTTGTTTATCTAGTGTGAATAGAAAATTTCTGTTTTCTGTCCCCTACCATAGACATACTAGAGCATGCTGAAAAAATGAATCTTACTCCATATTCACGGGAATGTACAGTAATCATGGCTGTTAAAATTATATGCAGTTACTGCAGCAGAATTTGTGAATGCATTTCAAATCCTAATGACCAGTCTTTCTCTTGATAGTAATTTTGCTCTTAGGTTGTTACACTCTTTCTGTTTCCAACGTTTCAGATGTACATGCCACCTCAAATTTCAGGGTTGGAATGTGTAGATTGATTAGTTCCTGTGTGTATATGGCATTCTGTTTTTAAGAGGAAGGGGTAGATAGAGTGGAGGTTGTTGCTTTGTTTGGGCTGGTAAGGACAATGAACCAAGCATTAAGGGCCAAGGAACAAATAAATGAATAAAAATCCAACCAGTAACTGATGTTCTCGAGCAGTAACTGATCCAGGTGCTCAACAGGAATAACATTGTTTAGTTTTTATGTAGTGGATTGAGCAGAGAGGAACACCAGGTGCTGTCATGACCTCTTTTATGCATTCCTGGGGCTGTGAGAGAGCCATTTGTGTAATTCTCCTGGTCCACTGTCCCTCTTGGTCCTGATGAGACACCAATCCCCACTCTGTCTCCCCTCCTCCATTGTTACTGTTCTAAACAGAATTCTATATATAAACAGAAACTTTCCAACTACAGTTTTTGACCCCGAAGACAGACACAGCACATACCCCTGAAGTGTCAGCAACATAGTCCACAACCACATTGTATAACAATCTGAGAGCAGAAATAATAACAATAATTAATGACAGTGTAAGCCTAAATTATCATTATCTTTCTCTTTTAATCACATGAGTATATCTCATTTTTCAATTTGTGTTACCCTTCTTAAAATATTTAGCTACTATACTGTGATTACATACAAGGAAAACAACTGTATGTTGCATGGAGAATGAGTGTTTGCAACATATTGTAAATCTTCTAAAATTGCTCATTGTATGTAACTTTAATTGGACTGTGAAGAGTGAATTTAGTGGATCTCTAGTTTCTAATAAAATTAATTATATGATCAGTGAATGGGCTGGAAGAGCCATTGAAAAAAAATTGTCAGTGAAGCACCAGGAATTGATGAAATGCTGTGTCAGGTAGTTGATAATTTAAGTTAATCCATAGTGCCTTCGAATGGTCTGATATTGTATGGCTTCATAACTGGAACAGCTCTGTTTCACTGAAGGGGAACAATGGTAAGAGAGATTTGAAGTCCTAGTTGTAAGGATGTTATGAAATAACAGGGAATTGCTTAATTCTACCACATAGTGTTCACTCTGTTTTACTACAGAATGCTTCTGTTGCCAACATTAGATACCATATAAGCAAACTATATGCCAGAAACCTTGTTCCAAAGATACACTTTCAGTGAACAACATTGCTGCCAGCACTGGATTCAGAAGTTAGTCAAGGCTTTACTGCAATGAAAAAAAAAGTCTTGTGTAGTAATATTCTGTATATTGCCGCAATATTTTCTTTGCAAATCCATACCAAATATTATGATTTCTGCATTAATATTTAAAAACTACAGGGTGATTCAGAAAGATGGACAATTTCAATTGGCTGTATTTCCTGAATTATATGTTGCATTTGAATTCTGTAAATTACACTTGATTATACATACATGGAAGTTTATAGATGTTCAATGTGCCCCCCCCCCTCCTCCGGCTGCACGGATAACATCTAGACGGTAGCTGAATTCATCCTACACTCGATGACAAATATCTTGCGTCACTGAGTTCACCGCAGCTGTGATACAGTTTCTTAGGTCATTCAAATTTGTGGGAAGAGGTGGTACACGCCACACAGTTGTTTGCGATAGTCCAAGTTCTCTACTAGCACTACGGGTTGACTTCATTGGGCTGCGCTCAAAGTTCACTCGAATGCACTCCACGTTCTCCTCCGATACACGTGATCGGCCCGGGACGCAGTGATGGAGGGCACTAGCGGTAGTACTAGAAACTTTGTAACATCCTCTTTCAAATGTACTTTACAGAATTCAAATGCAACATACAGTTCAGGAAATATAGTCAATTGAAATTGTGTCCATCTTTCTGAATCACTCTGTATAATGAAAGTTTTATCTCCTCTCCGATATATTTCTTTCTTCTACTAGAGAATTTAGAGTCAAGATGTCAGGGATTAGACAAAAAGTTTACATCATAATTACTGTGAAATATAACATGTAATAGGTAAAGCCAAAGTTGTCCTGTGTTTAATTAGGCATCACATTATGAATACAGATGGGGGAGTGTGGATATAGCTCCATACAGTTTAAATGTTTGTGCTTTGTGGATGTGAGTGGTCAGCTTCACGCCACAGCTTCTTCATCCCTGGGAAAACTTCACCTAATACCAATTGGACAGGAGCCTGGTGGGGTCATTCCATGTGAAATCATCCAGAGAGGTCGCTCACCATTTTTAAAAAAATTCAAAATTTGTACACTTATTTCTACATTATTTTCACACCTCAAAAAAATGTTTAAAAAATTGTGATCCGCTCGGTTCTCCCGGTACAGCCGTTTTTATAATGCGAAAAAACGCGTTTTCGGCTCAAATGGAGGTTTGCGTTATCTTCTATATCTCGATAACTATTGAAGCTAGAGACTGCAATGAAAAACCAATTTGTTCCTCATGATATGGACAACAAATCGTATCATTACAAGGTTTTACTCAACCCACTTCCTCTAGGTATAATTAAGCTTGAAACTTACCTATCGATTTTGGGAAAAACGCTATATTTGACCTTCAAATACCAGTTGGAGGGGGAAAGTATCAGATTTGTGGTTTCTACCCTTTGTTTTCTCTTGCATGAAGAATATAATCACATAGTTTTGAACACCATACCTATTTTCTAAAATTTTCCAGGAGCTTCCAAACTTTGCTCTGGGCCCCAAATCGGCCATTTTTAACATCTCATATCTCCGGTGGAGAAGCTCCGAAAATTTTGAAATTCATAGAAAATAGTGCACTATTCTAGAGCTACTTGAAGTTAAAATTGCAACTTTTATATTCAACTACTAGCGAAGTTGTGGGCACTTTGAATTTTACCAAAAAAAAGAACCAGTACCTCAACAATTGGCTTACCTGCATCCAATGGTATTAGTTCTTTGTGTACTCCGATGAATATTTTCCAGTTTGTTTGAAAGTACACGTAGTTCAGTAAGTGTCCACTATCACGATTTCTTCGAAATCATCGGACTTAGATGTTTTATAACACCTGACCGTGTTGTCCTCCAGATGGACGACCCGGTGTTTTTCTCTTGTATGGAGCACAGTTTTGCACTTTTAGAACATGCTTTTTAGAATGATTTTATTTCTTGCAACTTCCTCTTTTGGCACAAAAAAGTAAACTATTCCTGGGATATTTTCTGTGCAGAATATTTACAGTTATAGCGGGCACATGATTTGATTAAAATGAGTTCTTTGAAGACTGGCTTTCGCTGCTTGCCTCTTCGAGGTGCTGCCAATGCCGTCACAGGCATTCTTCCCGTGCGAGGTGGCAAAGAAGTTCCATTCTGCTTCAAGTCCTAAGTCTGCATAGTGATGACATAAATTTGAAAGATTCTTTTTGTTTTTATATTGGCTTCCAGCACCATCATTGAAATAAATAACTTTCCTGACTGAAGGCACATTTTCTTTTATATCGGCGATAAGAAATTTTTGGAACACATAAACTGTGGCTCTATCGTGCTTTACATGATCACTGATTATACACAAGCATGGGCATTTTCTTATAGTGTCCGCCTTGTAGTAATACACAAAAGGGTGAAGTGTAGCCTGTTGATTTACCCAATGGAAACTTTGAATCTCGTCTTGAACGAGAAACAAACAATTTTCTGCAAAATCTGTAAAATTTAAAGTGCCCACGGCTTCGCTACTACTTGAATATCAAAGTTGTGATTTTAATTCCAAGTTACTCTAGAATAGAACATTACTTGCTATGAATTTCAAATTTTTCGAAGCTTCTCCACCGGAGATATGAGATGTTAAAAATGGCCGATTTGGGGCCCAGAGCAAAGTTTGAAAACTCCTGGAAAATTCTGGAAACTAGGTACGAGGTCCAACCTACGTGATTATATTCCCCATGTAGGAAACAACAAAGGGTGGAAACCACAAATCTGATACTTTCCCCCTCCCACTGGTATTTGAAGGTCAAAAATAGCGTTTTCCCCAAAATCGATAGGTAAGTTTCAAGCTTAATTACACCTAGAGAAAGTGAGTTGAGTAAAATCTTATAATGATATGATTTATAGTCCATATCATGAGGAGCAGATTGGTTTCTTATTGGAGTCTCTAGCATCAATAGTTATCAAGATATGGGAGATAACGCAAACCTCCATTTCAGGCGAAAACGCGTTTTTCGCATTATGGAAACTTCGCTATTAGTTGAATATCAAAGTTGTAATTTTAACTCCACGTTACTCTGGAATAGAGCATTATTTGCTACGAGTTTAAAATTTTTCGGAGCTTCCCCACCGGAGATATGAGACGTTAAAAATGGCCAATTTGGGGCCCAGAGCAAAGTTTGAAAGCTCCAGGAAAATTTTGGAAAATAGGTACGGTGTTCAAAACTATGTGATTATATTCTTCATGTAGGAGAAAACAAAGGGTAGAAACCACAGATCTGATACTTTCCCCCTCCCACTGGTATTTGAAGGTCAAATATAGCGTTTTTCCCAAAATCGATAGGTAAGTTTCAAGCTTAATTACACCTAGAGGAAGTGAGTTGAGTAAAACCTTATAATGATATGATTTGTTGTCCATATCATGAGGAACAAACTGGCTTTTCATTGGAGTCTCTAGCTTCAATAGTTATCGAGATAAAGAAGATAACGCAAACCTCCATTTGAGCCGAAAACGCGTTCTTTCGCATTATAAAAACGGCTGTACCGGGAGAACCGAGCGGATCACAATTTTTTAACATTTTTTTGCGGTGTGAAAATATGTAGAAATAAGTGTACAAATTTTGAATTTTTTTTTAAAAATGGTGAGCGACCTTTCTGGTTGATTTCACATGGAATGACCCTTTAGACACTGTGGAGAAGAAAAATCTCTAACCTCTGCCAAGATCAAACCATGCTTCCTTATTTGTCCAAATTGTAGCTTAGTTGCTATACAGACTGAGCAATCCTGGCTCCCTAATACAACATAGAGATTACAAGTTTGAAACAGTCATTTTATATCATCAAATTTACAGCTATATTATGTAATATAACATGCAGTACAGTTGTAAATTTTATATCAGATTACTGTTCCAAAATTCTGATTTGCTATCGTTGCTCACCATAAAGCTCCATTTTATGAAGCTGTATGCTAAATTGTACTGATATAATATGCATATATTATGAGACCAGTGAAAGACTGAAATTTGCAAACTTAATCTTGGAGCAGAGACCTTGAGGAGCTCATGGTCGCTCAGTTATAAAAGGAATTTCCTACATTTTGTTGAACTCAAATGTATTTTCTCATGTCCCTGTCTTGAACTAGATGGATCCATTCAACACCCTCTCAAAATTTTTTAATGTCTGTTTTAATAATATTGTGACATGTTGTGCAACGGAGAACCCCCCCCCTCCAGCAGTGAACGCGGCGGGTGAGTCAGCGCTCCGTCACCCTCCTCCCCCCCTCTGCACGGTGAAGTAACGCGCAACGCGCGGTGACGTAAGACGGCGTGAGGTAACAGCGTTGCTAGGCTATACGCAGACACTGTTACGCGGCATGCAACGACGCTGTTGACGCGGGCAACAGGCAACAACGAATGGAATAAAAGCCGGCTGAGCAGTAAGCGTGAGTTAGTTGTAATGTGGCCATCGGCGAGTTCAGTTGTAGTCAAGTTAACTTGTAGCCGTCCCCAGAGAGAGTAAAAGTGTATCAGCGCCGAAGACAGTTCTCAATCTAGCCAGCGGAGAGTAACGAGTTCTCCAGGCAGCAGCCTACAGTTGGAGTATAGCAGCGTTCGCAGAAAGAAGAACCGGACGTGTGTGTAGTTGTGTAATTGTGAGTGTGTGATACAGGGACACTTACATAGCTCCCGTACTGTAAACATGTAGACCACTGAAGACAGAGTGAACTGATTTGCGAATAGGGTTATAAAGTGTGAAACCCCGCAACAGTGTAAACAGATTATTGCGATTGGGGTTATAAATCATGAAAGCCCGCAACTGTGTGATAAATGATTGTAGCCGTTACTTGTAGGTTGTTGAATAAACCAGTTAACAATCCGAACGGCGTCTTCAGTAACAAAACACGTTACAATATCTTCCTATCTATGCTAGGTCATCCAGATGGCCTCTTTGCTTTAGGTTTCCAACCAGCTTCTTGTTCAGCATTCCTGATCTGTCCCATTCATGTCACATGTCCTTTCCATCTCATCGGCCTTCATTTTATTATCTTAATTATATTAGGTCATAAATGCAAATTATGAAGCTCTTCACTGTACATTTTTCTTCAGTATCCTGTTTTTTATCCCTCTTAGGTCCAAATATCCTCTGCAGTACCCTGTTCTCAGCCACCCTCAATCTCACCTTAATGAGGGAAACCAAATTCATTTTTATACAAAAGAACCAGTAAATTATATTGATTTTGTTAGGCTGCTGTATTTCCAAGATCTGACAATTTTCCCTAGATTAAAAATTACAATGAAACAGAATTATAAACATATTTCAGTATTGCTACATTTCTATTTTATGAGTTAGTTAATTTAATTATTTATTTCATATTTTGGGGGGTGGGATGTGAGGTATCATGCCAGATTTTAATTAGAAGTATGCAAGAATATAATGGAATAAAATTACCATCAATAAGTAGTTGTCCATTTTCACGAGCTTCAGGCATTGGCTCATAACGGTTGATGATTTCCATGCACTTTTCCTGTGTTAAGTCTGACATCTGTATCAACACAACAGCAAAATATTAATATCCAGTAGCATTCAACTGGCGTTCAATTGTTTCATTTTCTGTTATTATTACCCTCACTGTTTGTGGGGCCAATATTTCACGAAGAATGAAAGAGAACATAGTACAGAAAATATATAATGGCAGAAAAACTTTAAATTTCTTTGCTAATAGTGAATAACATCACCTTAATGTATCATTTGAGCCGTGTCCCCCAACCCTGTGGGTAAAGAACTCCGTTCTTCTACCCACTTTGACCCGTGAATCCATTCTCTATATGGGTAAGGGACAATCTCATAAGAAACGACTTGCTTGTTAGCGTGATGTGCTATGCCTTCCTAAGATTGAGTAAGGGATCTCGAGGGAGAAAAACCACAGTCGGTACGATGGGCCAAGCTGGATGGATCCGCTAGCCAGGAGCTGGTATGGAACATACGGCACAAGTACACATATACTCAATGGGCGTTCTCAAACATATAAATAAATATATATTAATAACATAAGTATACAAATGAACTCCACCTGAAGGGCAGTGACTGGTTAAAACATATGATAGCGAATTGATACAGAATTACGCTGCGACCGACAGCACAGCAACCCAACTAGGCCACGCCTCATGGCGTATTCCAAACTCTCCAGTACAACACGTACTCGATCAAGCCTTGGTAACACAAGGAAATATAGAGCTTGAACATCCTACTGAACACGCGTGAAGGGCGATCTACTGTTCATCGCAATCTTTAACAAAACTGAACTTACCCTACGCCACACAGCATCTATACTCAAGCCAAAAATGCGCCTTACGGCGTACACCATTTCAGTAAGTCACTTACTTGTATTCTGGCCATACAAACTCAAAGATTTACCTCACGACTGATCCGCCCTTGACCAAATCATGAGGGCACTCCTCCCTCAGAAGATCTGCGCTACATGCCAAAACCAAATTTCAAACAACTTTCTCGAAACAGAATTTAAACATAGAGATGCTTTCAGACGAAGGTCCATGGGAAGACAGAACACAAAACCTCGGGATACGTCCAGGAAGGGGGGGACAAGGTCAGCTGACCTGACGTCAGTCAAGGACGTTAGTTGGAAAGAAGGGAATGGCTCGCATCCTGGTGTTTCGGGGGGAGGGACTCGAAGGAACTTAACGAAGAAGGACCATTGCACGGTTCACATTCTCTAAGTAAGGTGATCATCAATTATGTTTGTTCACAATATATTGTGCTATTGACCCTGAGAGACTCCACTGACATCAAGTGTCAGGTGACTTGCTTGAATAACAATGATTGTATGAGAACTTGTCATTACTATTTCCCCTTGAGATAAGTATTTTATTAATATAAATATATATATATAAATAAATATATAATTAATATAAATATTCTTTTTGCTGATTTCTCTTCAAAAACTATCTAAAGAGTTATCTCTGAAGGGGTTCTCCTTGAACATTAGACATTAATGCAGGTCATGTGATATGTGAAAACTTTGAATTGCACAGCAGTAAAAGTTTAATGTAATGCATACTGCAAAAACATTGCCGATGCTTGTGCTTTAGGAGAATCAACTGTATTGAGACAGGTGACATATAGAAAGTTCATATTATATGATTTCCTGTTTTTGTTAAAATTTATCTGTCCTCCCTTTTTTATTAAAAGGAAAATTAGCAAATGATATGATAAGATGCGATATGAAATGGTGATGGTGATAAATTTTGTGGCCCCATTTATTGATTTAATTTTAGTTTTTCCCCTTTTTTGATTTATGGGTAATAACATTGTCATTTTTATAGAGGAGATTGTTGGGTTTTGTTTTTCAGATTTCCATCCTGTTTCTTACAAGGTTAACAAAAACGGTAGTAACCCATTCATAATTTTTAAGCTGANTGCACGGTTCACATTCTCTAAGTAAGGTGATCATCAATTATGTTTGTTCACAATATATTGTGCTATTGACCCTGAGAGACTCCACTGACATCAAGTGTCAGGTGACTTGCTTGAATAACAATGATTGTATGAGAACTTGTCATTACTATTTCCCCTTGAGATAAGTATTTTATTAATATAAATATATATATATAAATAAATATATAATTAATATAAATATTCTTTTTGCTGATTTCTCTTCAAAAACTATCTAAAGAGTTATCTCTGAAGGGGTTCTCCTTGAACATTAGACATTAATGCAGGTCATGTGATATGTGAAAACTTTGAATTGCACAGCAGTAAAAGTTTAATGTAATGCATACTGCAAAAACATTGCCGATGCTTGTGCTTTAGGAGAATCAACTGTATTGAGACAGGTGACATATAGAAAGTTCATATTATATGATTTCCTGTTTTTGTTAAAATTTATCTGTCCTCCCTTTTTTATTAAAAGGAAAATTAGAAATTGATATGAAATGGTGATGGTGATAAATTTTGTGGCCCCATTTATTGATTTAATTTTAGTTTTTCCCCTTTTTTGATTTATGGGTAATAACATTGTCATTTTTATAGAGGAGATTGTTGGGTTTTGTTTTTCAGATTTCCATCCTGTTTCTTACAAGGTTAACAAAAACGGTAGTAACCCATTCATAATTTTTAAGCTGAAAATATAAATTTGTGTATCTGCCACCATAAAGAGCCAAATCACAGTGAATCGACTTGGCCTAGGGCAGCTAATTAATTCTAAAAATAGAAGATGAGAAGGTATACTTTGCTTATGTGATTTCTACTGTGTCCACATACGTGGAATTTCCTGAATAAATTGACAAAATATTCCATGATTTCTGGTTCATTCATATTTTATGTGGTTCTTTTATTATGGTCCATTGTCCTAATTGTTAATTTCTAATAACTGTTAAGTCAAAATAAGATAGGTCTGTTATCACTTTTAAACTTACTTCACAGCTAAAAACTCTCTAATTTAAGTACAAATATAGGCCATGCCATAGCTCAAGCGGTCAGTCTCTGGCTTCCCACCATGGTGGCCTGGGTTCAATCCCAGGTCTGGTCAAGTGGGACTTGTGGTGGGCAGTGTGACGGTGCAAGTTTTCTCTGAGTACTTCGGTTTCCCCTGCCAATCTTCATTCCACCATTTGCTCCACAGTCACCCTCACCTATCATCTGGGGCTGGTACAATAGGCCAGAAGTGGCCACGGTACAAGGGACTTAGTCCAACCCCACTAGCAATAAAAAAAAGTAAAAATATATATGCTGTCTAATTTTTTGTAACTTTAAATACAAGGGAGAGTCAGTAAATTGGTCACAAATGGAAGTAAAACAGCTGTAATGGATGTAATAGGTTTCCTTTGTTTATCACTAGGTGGTAGCACAATCCAGCTTCATCACTGTCTAGATAGCAGATTTGTGTGCGAATGTTCAGATGCTGGTTTCAGTAGTCAAAATGGTAGCCATGCTTCAGGAATGTATCACTGAAGAACAGCTTTCTGTTGTGCGTTTTTATAAGAAAAAAGACTCAATACAAAGGACATTCATAAAGAAATATTTCCTGTTTATGGTGGGAAGTGTTCATCATGTAAAGCAGTTCACAGCTGGCTAGGGAAATTCTCTCAAGAATGTTCCTGACAAGGTCGCTCTGTTGAGATTCTGACAGAAACAACTGTGCAGTTAGTGGAAGAGTTGATTAGAATTAACAGGAGGATAATGGTATACAGCATAGCAACTACACTAGGATGGTCTCAAGGTTTAGCATACTGCATATGCATGTTTGAAGTTTCAGAAAGTGTGCACAAGGTGTGTGCCCAGAGGTCCGAAGGATCAAGAAAAATGAACCAAATGGGTCTGTCCTTATAACACATCTTACAATACATGGATGAAGGAAAAAATATGCTTAACAGGATTGTTACTGTGGATAAATCATGGGTGCATCACTACTGACCTGAATCAAAGTGTGTTTCAATACACTGGAAAAATTCCAGTTCACATTTCAGACAAAGAGTTTAACTTTATGAGTATGCCATCAGCTGCTTACCATGTTTTTGGATTTTCAGGGAGTACTGTTAGCCCATTTTCAAAAGCATGGTGAAAATGTGAATTCTGCATTGTATTGTGAAGTTCTGTCAAAGCTTCAGGATGAAATTCACAGAATACATCCAGACCAATTGGCAAGCGGGGTACTGTTTCATCACGACAATTCCAGACCATATCCAGCCCGAGAAACCCAGGAGAGAATTCAGGAACTACAGCGGGAAGTTCTTGAATATCCACTTTACAGCCCAGACTTGGCTCCTAGTGACTTCGACCTGTTTGATCCATTAAGAAACCACCTTGGTGGCAAACGTTTTGCTGATGATGAAGTTGAAACAGAGGTGCAGAAGGGGCTGAGACCACAGTCAAAAGCCTTCTTTCCTGCAGATTTAGATGCATCGGTAAAACAATGGGACAAGTGTATCAATGTTGCTGGATGATATATTGAGAAATAAATGATCTTTCCAGGTTTGAATATTGTGTGTTTTATGTTGTATATCCATTTGTGACCTAATTACTGACCCTCCCTCATGTGATTATTAATAGATATTTCATTATTTAACTGAATATTTTAATCTTTAACACAGTTAAATTCTGTGATTACTGCTGAAAGTTTTGCAATTAAGTGTTGCAACTAGAATTATCACATTACAGTTCATTAGTTAGTGTTGGGTGTGATTCATGAGAATGTATTGTGCCTTGTGTTACCCCTGAGAAAATTATGAATAGTAATCTAGCACAACAAAGGCAGCAATATTTGAATTTTCATTTGCTAAACACAAACTGGTATATTTTATGAAATAGATTCCAAAGTTGAATCAACTGGTTGATTGTGCCCACTAAGGATCATGCTGTGACATATAGGGTAAAGGTGGAACAACTGTTTTGGCTATGAACAAGAAGTTTATTAACGTTTATTTAAATAATATTAAAAGTAAACATGTAACAATCAACTTTCTACTGCTAGAAGTTAAAGGATCAGTACTACAACAGTTAAGCTTGAATGTATAAGGTGTGGGCCTTCTCGACCCTCAGCTCAGTTACATTATTATAACACCCTACTCCCTCACTTATGTTTCAATATTATTCTCTAGTTGGCGTTCCAAATGTCTGATTTTTAGGAGGTTATCACACTAATGTTCTGTAGTGTGTATAGGTCAACTTCAGCCTACTGTAAAAAACAAGACTAAAGTGTGAAGAAATGGATTTATGATCTGTAGTTACCTTTAATTTAACACATTGTGGCTCTCTTTATTGATTTCATTTTTTGACTTAGTTTTACAGAAAGGAAGTTGGGGGAGTTTTGAATTTGAGACAGTAAAATGTGCTCATAGAAAGACCAACCCTCCCCTGTTGAAGTGGAGGCTCCATTTTGAAACACATACATACATAACAGAGAATAAAGACCTTGGTCATGGATTTCAAGGAGACTTAAGCCAGGGATGACTGTGCTGGTGAAGGCCAACAGTAATTTAACCAACCTACCGACCGAGAGTTTGTTAGCCAACAGTTGCTGTAGCTGAGGACGGGGGTTGGACACGAATCCAGAGTAAGGGGATCATCCGCTGTTGGAAGCCACTACCAAGCAGCGGCTAGGGTAGATTGAGCAGATTCTATGTGTGCTGTCGTTACAGTCATCTTTGGAATGTGTAACTCAGTAAGACTGTCATAGTTATTTGTAGTTATGTACCATAAATTTCAGTAATTCTGATTACCAATCCAAACCCTGTCTACAATTACTAAAAATCCTGGAATATTAAAAATGACAGAGAATTGTGAAAAAAAAGGTCAAATTATGTAATTGCTTTCATTTTCCTTTATATTTGGATGACGAACTGGGTGATGAAATTTACACCTGCACCCGAGAAAAAAGCAGAATCAGTGGTAGCCGACTGTGTCACTGCCTTCAGAACATTAAATCAATAATTTTCCTTTATGTTCTACTTTATTCCTAATATCTGAGATCCTTTATGAAGAAAAATTATGTCATATCATATTATAAAAACATTTGACAAGTTTTTAGTTGACTCTTTTCTCTGCATTTTTTTTTTGTATTTGGATGTTTTATCAAAGGAAAATGGACCATTATAAGGTTTACTTCTTTCCATAATTATCAGATACAGTCATTTCAGTCTATGCGTTCACTCCAGATATTTGTGCATTGTTTTCAGTTAAGGATTACTTCCCCTGCCTGTAGCAATTTAGCACATAGCATTCAGAGAGGTTAATGACAGTTAAAACTAATTTTTAATTTGACCTTGACCTTTCTATGGTCCTTATGGCACATTTGGAGGAACTTTTATTTTCTGTAAGCAGAATATTTGAATTCATACTAAAAAAAAATAATGTTCAAACATACCATTAAGAGTGTCTTACTAAGCTCAACTACTCATGCATGCAGAAACAGACAGTAAAAACTGTGTATTACATTTTTGTGACATTTTCTTTTTGTATGTGTAGAGTGACCATATTTCTTGTATCTTCCTGGTCTTACTGAATATTTTGCTCTCTTGTTTTACTTATCATAATGTTATGGGTTAAAGATTACTCCTTGTTTTTTCTAATTTATTAGGTGTAAATAATAGCATGCAAATAATATACAAATTTTGTGTCCTTGAAAAGTTAGATTATCTGACTGACCTGTGATACACATGCATACTCGTACAGATACCTTATTTGTGTGAGTCATCTCAATAAGAAATTGTTATAATTTTTAAAAATTTCAAGGTTCATTCATATGAAAATGAGACAAATTGTGTAGCACATAATTGATGCACTATTTTCTCTCTATTGTAAACTTCTCAGTAAGTGTTAGAACACTATAATGTGTTCCACCACACCTAGTGCTGTAGCATGGCAACATCCTTAGCATGTGATGGGATGTAGGGCTGTATTTTCATCCATCCAAAATGTCTAAGATAGCATGAGAATTTTACACATAAAAGTTTGGTGACAGTGGAACCAATATGTATATCACCAACACAGCTGATCTTTAAATTTGTATAATAATATTTAATTTTCTTATTGATAGAATTTTCTCTCTTTCCTCCGCCGCCCTGCAAATGAAATCATAATACTGCAGTATTACTGGTGAGACAGAGTGATGATGCATGTCTTTAGGGGTTGGCATTGCTTTAATTTGACTATGTCTTGTATTTCTTAATGTTCCTCTCTCATTTGTGTCCAGTGATCCAAGATATAAATACAGTCACTCTAGACATGGTTATTTATAGGTATAATATGAAAACCGCAGGACACCTGACTCTTGTAGTTCAGTGGGCTGCCCAGTCTCTTGCAGGAGCCATGCAACTTCAGTGTAATTACTGTGCAGAAGTCTTACCCCTTGTTCTCCTTCTAGGAAGAGTTGCAGGTCCTCCACAGAGAGATAGTCTTTGTTCGCTATCCTGCAGGGAAAAGGATACTTCACCAGGGATGTGTTCACAATGCAGTTAGCTGCAACATGTATTGTTTCTGTCACTAAGACAGCTGTCAATTCTGTATTGAATATGGGCATATTTTCACCACATTTTCAGCTCAGATTTCTGGCTAAACTTGATCTCTGAATTTTATGAAAAATTTTTATTTTTGAGGGAAGTATGTAAATAAATATGGTATATAAATAAATAAATATATATATATATGAAGTTAATACATATATAATACGATATTCTTCCACCCATGGGCTATGTAAAAGATAGGAGTTATGTTATAGTATCAGTGGAAAGGTGTATTCCATTGATATACACATACTGTATTTCCCAAATACAGTACATATATTATTTGCTTCTTGCAAAAGTTAATAGTCTTGCAGTATCTTTATTATAAGTTATCATAAATGCTTTGTTGCAAAAGTAATCACACTGCAAATATCATAATAATATAATAAGCCAGATATAGTTTTCACTGTATTTTTTCAGTACTGCACATCTGAGAACATTTTAAATAAAAGTAATGGTTCTAATAAATCACTACACAGCAAAATTAGATTTATCTAACAAATTTTAATTTGTGCCCTCCTTTACCAAGTTTTATGAAAACCTGATTAGTATGATAGTTCTGAAGATGAAGCAGTTGAATTGGTAGATGCACATATATATTATCGCATTTGGGAGCATAAACCTGATTCATATCCTAGACAGCTAATGTTTAATGATTCTTACCTTTGTAGGCAGACTGTATGTGGAATTACTACTATTGAAATTCTGTGCAAAATACCATGAGCTAATAACTGTGTAACAAATTTAAAGTCAGCTCAGCTGCTCTGATTATTTGCAGTGGTATGATGAGATAACAGATCACATTCTTCAGAAAGTAGAAATATACTGGCTTTCACATGTCACTCTCCATTGTGAGCAAGTATGCTCCTAAACGTGTGAACTAAAGTCAAATGGAATTTGAACCATTATTTTCAGACCTTCATGTTATTTTTGGTAGGGAAGACTGGTGAGAAAAGAGATTCATAATTACAGAATATAATGTATAACAGTTATTTTTGCACAACAGAGGCATATATGAAAAAGTTCATCTTCAGGGATAACCATTTATTGACACAAATTTTAACTCAGCACGTTGGTTTAAGCAGTAAAGCTCTAGACTCGTATTTGGGAGAAGTTTGATTCAAGCAAATACAGCAGTTTATTCACTGATAAGAACGAACTTCGTACTCAAAATATGTAACAAATAAAGGTATTAAATGATATTTTGCGTGGTTATGCTGTCTCATAGGATACATACCATAAGGAATACCTGCAATAGAATTCCTGCCACAATGTATCAGCCTCGTCAGGTGGTAAAAAATTAGTGAAACCTAATTATCAGCTCTTTCGGTTAACTGACTGGAAAAGGATTAACATGGTTGAGAATATTTTTTTGATTTTGGATTTTTTTCTGTTACAGAATAGCAGAAGTTTGAGTGATAATGGTAATGATTTGTGCCGCTTTATTGAGTGTAATAATTTCTGAGATGTCCTAAAATTTGTATTCAAGATAAGGTTCACATGTACTCTCTGATCTGTTGTATGTTCCTAATCCAGTTATGTTAATAAGATTTATTTTATGTTCTCACCTAATGAGTAGAAAGTACACCTCTGGTCTTGTTGCTACCTCCTTGAACATGTCAATAAATTCTTTGCTGTCTATGGTCCCTCTTCTACCATCATTCTTCATTTGATCGAATTCCTAAAAGGAAAGAAAGCATATAAAACAAAATGCACAGAATTTGTTATTGATTAAAATTTTGTTTTGTATGTCATAAGTAGCCCACAGAGCCTAAGTATTGAAATTTGACACATGATTATATGAAAATGCATTTTATTTGTTTCAGTTACTTTTGTCAGTTTGTCTCTGAAGGTAATTATGTTGGTAAAATTATAATGAAATATGATTTTGTTATACTAGATATTGTATTTTACTATTTTGAAATAAAAGAAGTTGTGATAAAGTGGACATGCGATTCAGATAAGTGAACAAGAAATACAGAATCTTTGTGGAAAATCACATTGAAAGTGTCTACTTGTTGGTAAGGAGAAGAGTGGGAGATGGTATTAAAATGAGTCTAAGGATGTGAACTAGACTGAACCATCAGAGGGCAATGCCACTTGGTGGACATTGTTAAGCAGTTTTGAACAGTCATATTCTATTAACAGAGTGTGAATTAATGAGTATCAGCCCAAAAGTGACAACTGAGACATACTGATGAAATATAAAACTGAATTTGTATTCTTAGATTCCAGTGGTTACATTTGTATATTATTTATTACATAATCTTGTTCCATAATTGGAATGCACATGTGCTAAATCTCCAGTTTGTGTAAGGGTAATGTTCCAGATTTGTGTTTGAGGGGTGCCCATATTGAACCGTGTTCAGGCTACTGGGTACAATGCCCAAGATTTCCATAGTTTTACTCAGTCTCTTGAGCTGAATGCCATAATCATATTTTGAAACAGAACAAAATCACGCCCTTCGAAATTTTTCCTACTAAAAAAATTCAGGATCATCTACCACTTATGGTAGATATTACAGATAGAAGAGTTTTGTGGTTTATACCAGATTTTCTGAGAAGTAGTGGGTCTGGAACGGGGTCCACTCATCCTCGTGAGGATAATTGAGGAACTACTTGAATAGAAAAGTAGCATCTCCGGTCTAGAAAACCGAGATTCACAGCCGTGGGGATCCGTTGCACTGACCACGCGACGCCCTCTATCCGCTAAATTTGGCACTAATTTCGCCCACAAGCGGCGGTCGCTCGGTCGGTATAGTTTGCTTGCGTACTGAAACAACGGAGTTTGTTTTTTGAGACATTTTGTGGTTTTCTTTGTTCCATCACAAAGACGAGCAGTTAATACTAAGATCAATGGAACTCTTGCCTGGCGACTTTTCTGTTAGAGATACAGCAAATGGATCAGCAATAGGAGTAATAATTGAAGGTTCAACTTGATATATATCAGTGATTTCAGAACAACAATTCACTGTTATCTTAGTTCTAGGCTTCAGACTCTTCCAGGCTTTCGTGTGTTAAATTCCAAATCATGCCGATGTTTTCTGACATTACTTCTCCGACTACACACCGAAACCTCGTCTTTTCTTCCGATTTTCCTCCTGAGGAGCTGAGCCTAATTCCCTGTTTATGACCTACATTATATCTTCCGTTAACTTATAATTTTGCCCGGGTATAATCCCTACAGGTTAATTAACTTGAGTAGAATTAGCACGCTGGGCATCGAAATATCTGTGTGGAGGTAATTCTCAAAGAAGCTAGGTTAAAACCGTCCACCTCTTACCACTACCACAGGTACCCGCTTGCAGATTTCGAACCTGAAAAATTTCCACTACATTTTATAGGGATAGAACTGAAAGTTACAATTTAGGATCTTGGGATAGTGCAACAAATTATCCAAGTATGTCAAATCTGATACAGCTGACCCTTTGGTAGTAAAACCCGAAGGTACAACGCGGCTGATTTCAGAGTTGGCCATTAAAAGCAACCGAGTTAGTTACACTCACCTCCCGTCCTCAAATCCTGTTGCCCTAAAATCCATCTTAATATTGTCATCTGATCTTTATCTCGGCTTTCCTTATATATATATATTTTTCAAGAGATTTCTGCAAGTATTCCTCCCAACCCAATCCTAGCTTCATGCCAGCCCAGTGAAGACTCATAATTTTTATGTACTAACAATTTAGTCCACAAATCAAGGACGGTGGAGTGAAGGAACATGTAGCACGCATGATGGAGATGAAAAATGCATACAAAAAATTTGTCAGAAAGTCTGACGGCAAGTTTCATCTCGAGAGATGGGGGGATAGTAGTAACACGGAACTTACAGACATAGGGTGCGGGAGTGACTTGATTCAACTGATTGTGCACAGGGTCCAGCAAAACTAAAGTAAAGCAATCCCTGTAACAGGCCCGTACAGGCCCATAGGGTTGTGAGATGTTGAGGCTCCCACATTTTCTCTAGACAATCGGCTCACAAAGGGCGGTAATGTTGTCAGTTTTACGCGCCGGCCGCCCTTTATCCCCAAGAATATCCGTGGTACTCATTTCCGTTAGACGCTGAGTCGACCCCAGGACCATAGTGCTGCTGAAAGTATTAGGTAAATTGAAAAAATCCACCTCATTGAGATTCGATCCCGTGACCTTCCGGCTTGTAGCATAGTGCCTCAATTACGCTACCGCGTGTCCAGTGGCGGGTTCTATTCGAGATAGAAATGATCCTTCGGTTTGCATACGATTCTGAGAATATGTTCACAGTCTGAGCGACTGTCAGATTTAAAAGAAGGATAACGAATGTTGCAGTTGAGTTGATAGCACTTCTCCTTTGTATTCGGCTAGTCCCGGGTTCAAATTTACACTTCCAGATTAGTTTTCCTCAGTTTCTCCCGTAAAATGCCAATATAATACCTTAAGTTAGAAAACGACCGGTTCCTCTACGTCGTTCCCAGTTAATTATCCGGCACTGATGCATTGTCTACGGTTCGACAGTTTGTAATAATAATAATAATAAATAAATAAATAATATAGTCTTATTAAAAGGAACCAGACCCGGAAGATGTGGTTGACCGACGAATCACTGAAAATAGCTAGAAGGAACTTGAGAGTGTGGACAAACATAGAAATAATAGTAAATGGAATTTGTCTGGAACAAGAATATTGAAGTGTGTGTTTTGAATTAAATTTCTATTACAGACAACAGAGAGATCTTCGGTGCCGTGTTAATTTCCACATTCCAATAAGACCGAAACAAATTATTACTATAGATATTCAAGCGACATCACAATTATAAATGAAGTAGTTCGAGAAAACGTGTATCTAGAAAACAATTATGAGTACGTAACGTCGTGTAAAGTATCCTTCCCTACGTCGGATGTATGCCTACCGGAAATAAAGGCTGAGAGTTGTCATGTACGCGTCTGTTATATTCTCCACCATAATGGAGAGACATGTCTCAAATTGAAATGACAACTGTACTAAATTCCACGATGTTTGAGACATGAAGAAAACGCTACAGCGAGAGTAAGGGTCGGTCAGTTGAAAGGGAAAGGGCTGTTACTGGAACAGAATCTATATACTGTACTTTCAACAGTTTAAACATATTGCGACATGATTACTTAAGCCGCCCGTGCTAGGCAAAGACCCCGTCCATTGCTAGGCAAAGAATACGCAGGCAATAATAGAAGGACTGTTGAAAACGGTGTTAGTTAGAGAGCTTAGTGTCACACTTAGGGCGATGAGTTACTTATGAGATGGTGGCCAGGCTATAACGTCCTAAGCACGAGAAAAGTAGAATCTTCTTTGTTGGGAACCGTAACTGAGCAACGACTAGTGAGGAATATAACAGACTGAGACTCAGCGTGTGCTATTATGAGTTGTTGAGTGCGTAGATTAGCGAAAGTTTATAATTACCTGGAGTTACGAGTTATAATTCTTCAATATATCAAATTATTACTCCAAATCCAGTATCTAGTGAATAACACGTGACAATATTATATTAAGGAATCAGTCCTAGTATAAGTCCGTTTACCAAATATAGCTATTAACATTATTGTTAGTTATAAGCTTTGAAATATTTCTTTTCAGGCGTAATTGTCGTCCTGTGTTCTGTAGCGACGGAAGCGCCTGAGGAAAAGGAAAGCATACGGGAAACAAGGACCCTCTGTTATATGAATGAGATTTGGGCGAACTCTGGAAGCTGAATACACTGTCAAGATAATGCTGACAGCAGAGTTAGATGGAAGTAGAAGATATTAAACCGCTTGTGGATAAGAGGCATATGTTCAACATAGTCTATTTGTTCGCATTTTATGCGTGTTCCATTCCCAGTTCAATGTTTTAATAACGGGCAGTACACAGAGTCACTATCACGCAGACCTCAGGGGGAAGGGTGAGGTGGGGGGGTACTTCTCATCTCGAACATCATGGAATTACGAATAGTTATAGGGTGGAACTAGTCTGTCAGTGCAACCGGGAAGCTAAGGTAGTGTCTGAAATTACGTCAGAGCCTGGGACCAAAAGCCAGAAAGAACTAGAAACGTGATAGGACCAGTCGCTTTAGCTTCAGATCTCCACAGTCTCAAACAAAAATAGAAAGGTAAATTTCAGTCTTCTTGAGTGGAATGGGCACACTTATTTGATAAACACATTCTTGCATTTCGCATACTTCATTTTGCATGATGTTAATTTATTGCACATAGGCCTATAGCATAATGAGTTTTGCAGAGCTATGACAGGCGTTTCTGCACAGAGTATAGTGGTCCTTATTTCGCATTACATATATAGAATCATACGACTCTTTTTTTCGTTCGAAGAGTCGCATTTGAGAAATTCGATACATCTCGATATTTTTTCTGTAATAGAGACTCATGTAATTGACCGGGACGCATTAAANCTACAGGCGTTGCTGCACAGAGTATAGTGGTCCTTATTTCGCATTACATACATAGAATCATACGACTCTTTTTTTCGTTCGAGGAGTCGCATTTGAGAAATTCGATACATCTCGATATTTTTTTCTGTAATAGAGACTCATGTAATTGACCGGGACGCATTAAACTGAAATTCGTTTAATATATTTTCTTATGGAGCACCTCTCCAGTACCGAATTTCATCTAGGCCCGAGGAATAGTTTCGAGATGAAATCGCGAATTAACATAACTTAATAATTATGAGTATATTAAT